AACCACCCTCACCAAAAACCACCAAAACCAAACCACCCTCACCAAAACAACTAAAACCAAACACCCTCACCAAAACCCACCAAAAACCAAACCACCCTCACCAAAAACCAAACCACCCTCACCAAAAAAACCACCAAAGGAGGCTGCTCAGCTGGCAGGGCACCTGCTTAGCGAGGACTGAGTTCAAATCCTCAGTGCTGAAGGAAAAACAAGCTGAACCCCACAGACAGAGGCAAAGTCAGCGGATGAGGAAACGCCCAGTGTGCAGAGCGCGCAGCGGCAGAGAGCAGACCAAACGTCCTTTCTGGCCCCCAAAGGAGCCCCGGCTGCAGCTGCTCGGCACAGGCCGACCTCCCCAGACGGGTCAGCACCTCAGGAGCGCGGCTTGCTGCCTGAGCTGCAGAAGCAGGGTGCTGCGCAGGGCGGGGAAAGTCGGAGGCTGGGTACAGACGCCCATGAATGTGTGTGTGAGTGTGTGTGTGTGTAAGAGTGTGTCTGTGTGGATGTGAGTGTGTGAGTGTGTCCCACCAGCTTGGGTGAAGAGAGAACGGGCTCCCGCCAGTTGGCCTCTGGAGCCTACCACCAACCAATCCACCCACCAACCTGTCAGTCACTCAGTCGATCGATGTATCAGCCAAACATCAACAGAGTTAATGGAATCCTAAATTCTAAGACGGCGACCCCCTGCCTCCGCAGTGCTGGATCACAGGTGCCCGGCGGGGAGGGACCCCTCGAGCCAGCCCGCCCGAGGCCCACGCTCACCTCTGCACACCTTGTTGCCCTCGGCGGCCTCGAACCCGGGCGCGCAGCGGCAGCCGCTGACCTGCTGCTCCGCCCACTGGCCGTCCTCACGGCAGTACAGGCTGGGGCCGGGGCCGGCCGCGGCCACGGCGTTGGCCACGCAGCTTCCCGCCACGGGCACCACGAGCTCGCGGGGCACGGTCTCGGGGAAGGAGGTGAGGTTGGTGACCAGCCGCGGGCACTTCTTGTAGAAGAGGCGCAGCGACAGCAGCGCCATGCAGGCGCCCTGGTCCTGGAAGGCCAAGTAGAAGCCAGCCTTGCTGAGCGGGCCCAGGCGCAGCGTCTTGACGTTGACCTTGCCGGTGGCCTCGGCGCCGGGCCGCTTCCGGGTCAGGTGCTCCGCGGCCACCGTGTCCACCTGCCGGAGAAGCGGGTTTCCACCACTGCCCAGGGCGGCCCTGCGGGCTCCTCGGCTCCCGCTCCAGAACCGTCCGTCTCCCTTCAGTGCGCGCGTGTGTGTTTACGCCCATGCGCGAATACACACAGAAACATGCACACACACGCACACTCCATGCCTTTACACACATACAGATCTGTGTGTATATGTACACACACACACACACACACACACACACACACACACACACACACACGTCTCTTGTAGACCAAAGTCCAAGCCGGTCGCAAACTTACACAGACAAGGTTTTCCTGAGACAGGGTCTCTCTGTGTAGCCCTGGCTGCCCTGGACTCACTCTGCAGACCGGGCTGGCCTCGAACTCAGACCCTTCTGCCTCTGGAGCCGGGGCGGGGCAGCACACACAGCCATCCGCGCCACACTGGGCGCCAGCCTGCGCCCAGCCTGCTCCGCGCCCGTCAGCCTGCTGAGCCGAGCCGCCACTGGGCCGGCGGCCGCCCGCTCTGCGCACGCGGGGCCACGGCGAGAGCCTCGGCTCCGAGGCTGGCCTCCCCCGGGGAATCGGCAGCTAACTGTGGGTGAAGACGTGTGAGCACAAACACGCATCTTTCAGAGGTGGGATGGAGCTGAACGGACTGAGCAGGCGGCCCCAACACACGCGTGTGACCCTCACACACGCGTGTGCTCCGGCTCCGAGGAGGAGCAGGGACTCATGGTCACCCTTGACCACGTAAGAGAATCTGAAGTCAGCCTGAGCTCTCTGTGAGACCCTGTCTCAAAAGGCACAGCACCGGGCGTGGCGGCACACGCCTGTGATCCCAGCACTCAGGGAGGCAGAGGCAGGGGGATCTCTGTGAGTTCGAGGCCAGCCTGGTCTACAGAGTGAGTCCAGGACAGCCAGGGCTACACAGAGAAACCCTGTCTAGAAAAACAACAACAACAACAACAAACAGGAGCTAGAGAGATGGGCAGAGGACAGGGGTTCAAGTCCTAGCACCCACACAGTGGCTCACAACTCTCTGTACCTCCATTTCCAGGAGATATGAGACCCTCTTCTGGCCTCTGCGGGCACCGGGCATACATGCAGGCAAACACTTAGACACAGAAAATAAAACAAGCATTAAAAAATAGTCTTTAAAAAAGAAAACAAAATAAAAACCTGGACATGGCGGTCCATGCCTTTGATCCAGGGTTCAGGAAGGTAGACAGATCTCTGAGTTCAAGGCTAGCCTGATCTAGGGAGTGAAACTATCTCAAAAAAGACAGGGGTGGGGAGAGAGATTTTAAAAAAGCAAAAAGGAGGAAGGAAAGGAAAAGAGCACCAGGAAGGCTGGAGAGGTCAGCGTTAGGAGCACGCCCTGCCCTTACAGAGGACGGGGTCCATTCCCGCACCCACATGGGGGCTCGCAGCGTCTCTAACTCCAGAGGGGGATTCCGCCCCTCTTCTGACCTCAGGCACCAGGCACGCATTAACACGTAAACACGTGCGGGCGAAACATCCGCTCGTGTACAATCATTAATCAACGTAATAAAACATTTTAAAACCAACAGCAACAAAAGCCAGGGCTGGTGGGATGGTTTAGGGGTGACGCGTGCTCGCCACCGGGGCCCGCTGCTTATTTATTTACTTACTTAATAGTTTTTTGTTAGTTCGTGGCTTTATGTACTTATGGAGAGGTGGCCAGGAGGGAAAGGCCCTCAAGCGCAGTGGTCTGGTGCCCCTGGAGCACAGGCGGGGAGAGAACCCTCTAGTTGCCGCTGACTGGCCTGCACGCTCACAAGAAACAAGTGTTTGAAAACGCCAAGCTGGTGCCATGCGCCTGCAAATCCCAGCGCCGGGGGGGGGGGGGGGCAGGAGGAGCAGGCGCTGAAGGGGGCTCCTCTGCCCCTCGCCCGGGGCCTGGGTTGCCCAGTGGAGGCTGAGCCCAAGGCTCCCTTTAGAGCCGGCAAGCCAGTCCGGGCAGGACAGCGCAGAGAGGTGGCTCAGCAGTTAAGAGCACTTGCTCTTACAGAGGACCTAGGTTCAATTCCCAGAACCTACATGGCGGCTCTCAACCATCAGTAACTCCAGTTCCAGGATGACCATGCTCCAAAGACGCACGCTGTGACAAAACACGCATGCGCATAAGATACAGGTCCATGGATGGATGGGTGGTAGGTACACAGAGACGATAGACAGACAGGTCCATGGATGGATGGGTGGTAGGTACACAGAGACGACAGACAGATACATAGATGGATGGATGGATTGTAGGTACACAGAGACGATAGACACATATATAGATGGCAGACAGATACATAGACAGATGATAGATATATAATAATAGATAACACATAGACGATAGATAAATGACAGATGATACAGACATAGATAGACGACAGGTAGATGAGATAGATGATAGATA